TTTCTGACCAAATCCCCAGAAGTATATGAGTCGTGGTAATTTCTCCACTATCACCTGCAATTCACAAAACAATAAGATGATAATGGTAATTAAACACACATGCATAGACAATATCAAGATAATTGTTTATGAGATTTCAAATCAAAACATAAATTTTGCTATTTGCAGTTGCTAGCCATGTTTAGATTCAAGTTCAATCTGTAGGAGCAAAAAGTTTCGGACCACATACTATCTGATTTACCCTAACAAATATTTATCTGATTGAATTTTTACATTAAACATGTTGTCAATTTGTCATTCAAAGGTATAGCATACAACATAGACTTTTGTCTCCTAATAAAACACAACAGTGATGAGCACATCCTATATAAGGGAAAAACAGCATTCATTATATACTTCTGTATTTCAATTTTCCATGAGAAAGCTCCACTTTTGCTTACTTGACAGTCCATATTTCCAGACAGTCCATATTTCCAGTGGACTCCTACACTGCATCTTGAATTGACAAGTGACAACAGAAGAATACATGATGCATGTACTACTTGAATCACCGACAGTAAACTCACAAAAACTCATGACGACTCTTCAACGTTGTAAAAAAACAGAAAAGGGGAAAGGGGTGGATAAGATAATGAACACCAAAACAACATTAAAAAGAATGTCACAACGAGTCAAGAACAAAGAGCTTAAAATTAGTTAAGAACAGAATACAAAATAAAAGCTCCTGAAGTAAATAATCAGGAGAATGTCATGCCAGTCAGTAAGTAAAAGGAAATGTTGAAACTCTTGGTGGGATTAAGAAGAAACTTGAGTGATGCAATTGTACCCTTGAGAGATTGAAACTTAACATAAAGCGTGCACAAGCAGGTAACCTCCATCTCTTACTAAGTCTATCCCACAGTCCTTAAATCTTATTTTTATTTACATCCGAGATGGGCTCACAGGCTTGCAATCTTCACATACTGATTAAGGTTATAGATAAAAAATAGTACTGACATAATTGAACAACATCAAGCTCCAAAAGGTATCATATAAAACATCAAGTCAAGTAGCATGATACAAAGTGGCCAACGTTCTCATCCTTAAATGCTGAAAATAACTTTGTACATCACTCGTATTTAAACTAGTATTGCCCAATTGCAGTTTCTGCATCTAATCGCATTACATAGACAATGGTAGATCAAACACAAACAAATTTTATACAAGAAACCTAATGAATTAATCAAATTAACTTGCAAACACATACACAAAATAGAATACGATATGCCAAGTGTCAGATGTTATTGATGTTAAAAATCACCTGACTTTAGTTTATCCTCAATAGCCCAATCAAGTACCCTTTGAGCCTGTTCAGTCAATGGAGGATGCTCAGGGCTAAAAAAATACATTTCAGATTTCCCAAGTAAATTCACAGTTTCTTCTCTGACTTTGAAAAAAGTAATCCCATTAGCCCTCAAAAACTTTGCAGCTGGACTTGTCCCTGCAACCAAACATAAAACTTCAATAAACCACCCAAAACTAAACAGAAGCAAAGCTCTAAAAATGCATAAAAATTCACTGACCCTCGATCAAAATCCCCATTAAAAGGGCTTCAGTTCCTGTATTGGGATACTTCAGCTTCCTCGCCTCCAATTCTCCTAACCCAAATGACCTTATTGCTCTTGCTGACCATCTAAAATCACTCACAAAAACAAACATTCCCATAATCAAAAGCCGCCGCCACTCAAGTTTCATATAAAAAGAAATCAAGAATCTATAAATCTCACTGTTTCTTATCAAAATTAAGGAAAAGTGACTAACTTTGGCATCTTCTGAGATGTATATTTCCTGCAAGAACCAACAAAAACTAATCAAGACCCGTTTTTCAAAATCAAAGAATAAAAGGACCCAGAAGAACAAAAAGCTTACTTAGTGGGTAGAGTAGATAAAACTGTGAAAATTGTTGAGGGGTTATTGCACTTAAGAGCTAAATTTCTCAACTTTGAGTATGAAATCAATAGCTTGTTGCCACAAAAGGAGCTTGAAGGGAGTGATAGTGAAGAGTTGTTGGGTTTTTCATTGCAAAACTGAGAAGTGGAAATTGAAATGGGGAGAAATGAGAGAGTGTTAGTGGCCATTGAAGACAACCCAAATGCGGGTTTTGATCAGGGAGAGGGCTTTATGGTTTAGCTTTATTTATGTCTGCTTCCAAAAATGTACCAACGAGGGGGCTACCGTTTTAAGAAGCCGAAGATAGACGACGTGTCATATGATGTTGTGGTTGGGTTTATGAGGGATGGTTTGACGAGTCGTTGGAGGCGGGGATGAATCATGCAGTGACTTCTCTGGGGCATGGTTGTAAAACACATAACGATGGGAGGTTGAGCCTGGCTTATCCAAAGCATAGCTGATCTGATAAAAAAATTTCAGTTGATCTGTTAATTCAGCTCATTATTTTTTTAAAAAAAATATATTTTTTTAAAAATAATATTATTTTAATTATTTTTTTGCCAAATAAAATTATAAAATAAAACCACCTAAATATTTTTTAAAAAATTAATATTTTTTTAATTATTTTTTTGCCAAATAAAATTATAAAAGAAAATCACCTAAACATTAATAATTAATTTTTAGTTTATTATTAGTTTTTTAATAAGATGAACTCCAGTTATAAATTTATAAACATCAAAACAAAATTTAAAAAATGCCATTTAAAACTTTATGATATATATATAGAAGGAGAGTTTAACTAATGTGATTCTGGTGTGGGTTATTTTTATAAAATATATATTTTTTTAAACTTATAAATGATAAATCTAAATCTAAAAATAAATTTAATTTCAAATTAATTATGAATTTTAGAGTCAATTCTTAATTCTTAAGTTGTTAAATGCTATAAATATGTTTTATAATATTTTTATTTTTTATTAAATTATAATTGAAAATTATATAAAAATTATTAAATTCAATTAAATTTATAATTCGGATCACATGTTTAATTTGATTAATTTTCGGATAAAAATCTAGCTTTATAATTTATTTATTATATAAAAATTATTAATTTGTTTAATTAGAAGTATATATAAATGTTTTGAATTTCACTTAAGATTTTTTAATGTATAGAAATACACTGTAAAAATTTATATATATAACTTTTTTTAAGAAAAAAAATATTCAATTTGCAGTAAAATACGGTCAAATATCTACTTTAGTAGCTTACTGTAACAATAAAATACAGTGGGGAAAAAAAAAAAAAGGATTAATTTTTCTAGATTGTTGTTGTTACTTAGGCCTTAAGTTGCAAATGACAGGCCGTTGAAGTTTCTTGGCCCAAGTTGAATTCATAAAAATAGTCTCCCTCGCTCACCATCCTTCGTGTATGAGATTGAATAGTCGTTTAGCTGCCGTGTGGGTCCCACTCTTAAAAACCACACCGCACGTATTCTTAGGGCCAGCTTGCGCCACCACGCCAACCTCAATGAAGGATGTTTTTTTTCAATTTTTATCTTTTTCTTCGAACTCTCCACTTGTTTTTAACTTCTTACCGCGCAGTAAAACCATGTTGTCTGTTTGGCTGCAGGTATTTTCTATCATTGTTAGGCACGATTACCTGTGTCTGCTGTCTACTTTATGCCCAAGGGATTTTTATGATATTTTTTTTATATATATAGTTTTAAAATCATATTCTGAAGTTGGATTAAAGGGTTAATAATTTTTTAAAAGAATACAAAATAATATAATTTTAACTATTTAAAATAATAATAGGTTTTTATGTTAGGCTTGTCAAATCAATCTAAATTTTAACTAGATAAAATTAATTTTTTTAATTATTTATTTTCAATTCAGACAGGCTCAAGCTTATATTTAAATTTGACTTACCAGACTGATCTAGAATATATATATATATATATTCAGGAAAATAACCCTATCTCAGTGCAATTGGTCAAAAAACTAGTGTAAAATATAGAAATCTTGTTTAATTTCTTAACTCTCGTGTGATGACCAAAACTGTTAATTAAATTTACCAGCAATTTCTCCTAGATGTAAAGAGTAGGGAATGGATACTTTGCCTAACATGAAAAGAAAAATTGCTTGAAAAATAAAAAAATTACTACAAGCAAATCACCTATCTTTACAATGCCTATTTGGCCATCACAGAAGAGGGAAAGAAAGTGCATATTTTGCCAAGAGTTGAGCATAAACAGTACATTAACGGCAGGGATGTCAGGAAAAGTGTTCTGTGAATTCAATTTAGGATCCCTAATTAGGTCAAAAAATAGGCGGAATGGTGACTTCAGATAAATACAGAGTGAACAAGATTGCCATGAGAATGGAAGCTTTTGATGCGAGTGCTTAATTAATTGAATCTAGGTCAAATTAAAGCTGTCATCGACCTAATAAAGTGGCTGGATCTATGGCTTATTTATTACTTTAGCATAAAAAGAAGAGAAGATACATTTTCAAATGGATTAGAGATAGTTACTTGGATTTGCATTGGTAACACATTTACTAACATAAAAAATCATTCAAATTCCATTATTACACATAAAAATCATGAAACTTTGGTCAGGTGTGGAGAGGCTGGCATGCCCGATGCCCTGAAAAAATAAATCTCTTATGTATTTGAAAACAAATCAAATTATTATTTTTTAATATATTTTTATAATTTTAATATGATTATATTTAAAATAAGAAACACTTTTAAGAAAATTATACATCATACTATCAAACAAACATAAAAAATATTAATTTTAATATTTTTTTTTAAAATCCATTTTATATCTTAGCAAAAAAAAAATGTTGCTATAAACTTTTAATACCATAATATTTAGAACAACTCATGCTAATTTGATTTCATTTACAACAATAATAACAATCATATATTTTACATTTAGTTAATGTATAAATAATAATTGTATTCAGGTTTATTAAATTTGACTTGAATCAGTGAGATATTGAGTTTGTTTTTTAAATTTTTTTATATAAATGGTAACTTTAAAGTTCATGGATTGGTGAGAAATACACAAGTTATATAAATTAAAGACAACAAGGTTGTCAAACAAGATGGCTTTGTTTTTCCGGATTCGCCGCAAATTCCTTCCTTCCTTCTTTCCTTCTTAAAATCAGAGTCCTTCAATAATTAGAACTGCATTTCTCTCCTGATCCAATAACTATTCAATTTCTCTTTATAATAATAAACAGACACAGAGATACAGAGTAAAAGTCTATCCATTTGGCAAGAAAATCTGAGAGTTCTTGAATTCCAGGTCTGGTTTAAATCCATCGCAGATACGTTAAATTTTGGAGGTTGTTTTGATTTGAAAGATCTTGTTTTGAATATAAATTAAAGAACCCAGAAGTTGAATTTTGAAGGATTTTGTTTCTTTATCTGGAATTTGTGAGTTCTTGTTAAATGTTTTTGATTTCTATATATGAAATCAGATTCTGTTTTTGTAATTATCAACAAAAGAAAGCCTTTTTTTAATGTTTTATTGTTTGTTTATTAAATGGAATGGTGAGATGTTATTTCTTGGTTCATTAAATGCTGTATAATTGTATTTGCTTTGCATGTTTTGCAGTTTGCTGAATTGTTGAAGGTTGAAGCAGAGAGCAGTTTTTTTGTCTAAATTTGGAATCAAGATTCAATTTTTGGAAGGTTTTGGTTTGTGGGTCATTTTTATAGAGTAAATTTCATCTTTAGAAGTCCAAATTTTAGGTAGTTTTAGTTGCTTTAGATTAAGATTTCACATGCTAAATTGTTTCCATTTTACAGTTCAATTTTTATGAGTGGATTTCAGTTACGGAAATCGGTTTTTAGTTAGTTCCTCTGGATTTTGATGACCTACATGATTCATATTTGCTGAAAAGAGGTAGATTCATGTGGAAAGCCATGAACTTGGCTTCTTCACCAAAAGGGACTAATCCTGCTATGGCTGCGTTTCCACGGTCACTTTCTTCAATGGCAGCCTCAGTGGGAGGCCTTGCATTATTCTTGGTGATTGCTTCTTTGCTTTTGGTTTCATACCCTATTGGTTCTACTGTTCGTGGATACTTTTATGGGATAGATAGCTCCAGACAAGTGGATTTACTCCTTTTAGAAGGCAATCAGAGCTCAATTGATCTGCACCATGATAGTAATTTAGATGTGGTTGATGAGGATTCTTCACTCGTGTTAGATTTCAAAGGGCCCATTAGTTTAGGTGGCGTTAATAATAACAGTGTAAATGTCATTGATAGTCAATCTGAGTTTAATTTACAAGAATCCACTACTGGTACAAGAAAAGAAGGGCAGATCAACCCTAAGGGTGGTTCAGTTACTTTAAGTGTCAAAGAAATTGATGCAGATAAAGGATCAGAAGAGAATAGCTCAGATGCTGCATCTGCAGATTCTAAATCAGGGGCCAAGTCAGATAAATCTGCTGTGCCCAGTAATGCATCCAAAACTGGTTCAGATGATTCAGGTATTTTTTTCCTGTTAATTTCTTTATGGATTTATTGCGTATCTTACAGTAGTGGTATTTAATCCTTTCCTTTTTCTGGAGTTTATTATAAATTTGTGTTGTGGTTTTGATTTGTGGATTTTCTTCGCATACATGTTTGAGTTTCTCTATGGCAACCTGCTTTTGCATTTGGGATTATTTAACTGCCCTATGAAGTCTATAACTGTTAATTTATTGGTTTTCCAATTGTTAATTCATTGGTGATAGAGTTACTTTGTCAAATGTGAAAGTGGTTTATTAAATAAAGGATAAAAAATATTTAATTTTTGTAGATGGGAGAAATGTGTAAGTTTTTGTTATTAATGCATTTGACTGCATCACTTTGTATCCTGTATACAGAAAGTACAGTGCCAGCCTCTTTGAGGAATAAAAATAAGTTATTTGTGCATGCGATCTTCACAGGTGGATTTGACACATCTCTCTCTCTCTGATGTGTCTTCTCAAAGTCCACCAAAATATGTTTTGAACGATAATAACTATTGGTTCTCTTTTGACAACAATCTTTTGGTAGCATGGTCTAGTTATATGTAAAGAACAGGGTAAATTCAGTGTTTGCGTTACATTATAAGCAAACTATCAAGTCTGGTACATTATAAGCACGCTATGAAGTTAATTTGATGTATTTGCTTGCAAGAACTATAGGGTTTTGATTGAATAGAAGGAATGGTATAGCTTTGTTTTCCCCAACAGAAGAATGCTTGTATCAAGAGTTTTCTGAAATTTGTTAGTTTAGAAATGTTTGATTTATGAATTAGTTCTTTTGTTTCCTCCCTATCTCTTCAGTTTTTGAGATTATAATTTCCATTACATTGTCTAACATGCAGGTTGTGATTTGTACCAAGGAAGTTGGTTATACGATTCATTGGGACCATTATACACAAACAACACATGCCCTGTCCTGACACAGATGCAGAATTGCCAGGGAAATGGAAGGCCTGACAAGGAATATGAGAATTGGAGGTGGAAACCTTCTCAGTGTGACCTCCCACGATTCGATGCCAAGAAGTTTCTGGAATTGATGAGAGGGAAAACAATAGCTTTCATTGGTGACTCTGTTGCTCGAAACCAGATGGAATCGATGTTGTGCCTTCTTTGGCAGGCAAGTATATGCGCTTTCCATTATGAATACAGCGATCCCATTCTGGGCCTTGGCAATTTGCTCTTGACTGCCCATCATATCTTGATTTAGGGAAATTTATTTCTGCAACTGATTAGCTTCTATCGAAGTATTCATTGAAGTTATTCTGGCAAGCATGGGGCATGCTTTCCCAAGGGTTTCACCACTCAAGCTCTTTTCATTTACTTAACTGTTGTGATAAATTGACACGCTTCTTGAAATGTTGTGGTCTTGCAAAAAATGAAATATTTGGTTATGTCACAATTGTGATTATTAGTTTCACTGTTTTGGGAGATGTTCTTACAGAAACAGTTTCTGATATATTTCCAGGTAGAAGCTCCTAAAAACCGAGGGAACAAAAAAATGCAACGATATTTCTTTAGGTCAACGTCTACCATGGTTGTCCGAATATGGTCCTCTTGGCTTGTTCACCAAACATCAGAATCTATTGACTTCGCTCCAAAGGGTGTTGTCAAACTCCACCTTGATGCCCCGGATGAGCATTTCATGGAATTCATCCCAAATTTTGATGTGATTGTTCTCTCTTCTGGGCACTGGTTTGCCAAGCAGTCAGTCTATGTCCTCAATAATGAAATTGTAGGGGGACAGTTGTGGTGGCCAGACAGATCTCGTCCAATGAAGATTAACAATGTTGAAGCATTTGGGATATCTGTTGAGACAATTCTCACATCTATTGCCACACATCCAAATTTTACAGGGCTAACTATTCTCCGCACATATTCACCTGACCATTATGAGGGCGGGGCATGGAATACTGGTGGATCATGCACTGGGAAGGAAAAGCCTCTTTCACCAGGTGAATTAGTGGAAAATGGCTTTACTGAAATAATGCATAAGAAACAGATAACAGGTTTTGATCGAGCAATTAATAAGGCGACCAATAAATCAAAGTTGAAGCTGATGGATATCACTGAATCCTTTGGCTATCGCCATGATGGACATCCAGGTCCATACCGAAGCCCTGACCCTAATAAACTCACAAAACGCCGTCCAGATGGAAAGCCACCTCCGCAGGATTGCTTGCACTGGTGCATGCCTGGCCCAGTTGATACCTGGAATGAACTTGTGCTTGAAATCATTAGAAGAGATTTTGAAGCCAACCAAGACCCTTCAATATGAGGTTGTTATGTTTACATTTCCAAGCAGCCTACAGACATGCACCTAGTGTAATGGTCGTAGAGAAGCCTACACGCCTATATTTATTAATTGGAAAGGTAACTTGATTTATTATTTTAGAGTCAAGATGTTCTAGTCCTTGGGTTAAAATTATTTCGTCACACTCACGGTGTTACCTGTTGCTAGTAGTGCTACTGATGGAGGATTGGTTGGAGTTGATGTATTGTAAGGCCTCCATGATAAATAAAATTAGCAAGATCACGTTAATCTTCGTGTAGTGACATTGATAGCTATTTGTTTAACATTACCATGATAAATAAAATTAGACAATTTTTTATTCTCAAATCTGCACCATTCGCTGTTCAAGTTGTTTCACTATCTGTATCTTCCTATTGGATGTTATGCTTCACCTTTCATTGAGTTCCTTTGCCCTTTTACTGCTTCAGTGCTGATTGACATTGCATTCATACTGTGTCAGTTCAAATATATCATTAGCTATATGGATGCAACTATTTGAAACTTTTAGCTGTGATCTTTGTGCAGGCAGTTTTCTCTTGAGTATTAAAAGCAGAAGCAATGCATTTTGAACTGAATCCAGCCCCCCTTCTGCGGATGATAAACATTAGTCAGCCTTCCATATCATTGTATAGAGAGCAGATGCAGTGCAGGCGAAAGCCAAACGAGCACTGAGCCCGAGGAGTTTTATAATCCCAAATCGGAGAAAGAAGACCAAGCAGGGGGGTTTCTCCACCTCCGACTTCCACCCCGTTGGTGACAGTCATTCCGAAAACGAGAAAAAAGAGAGTTTTACCTTTCTTTCAGAACTCAGGCGACACGAGCGGGCGAAAAGTCTCTTTCGAGTTTTCAACGAAAGCATTTGGATTGGACAAAAGTAGATCCAAATGCCAAGTTTATAAGTTAGCCCCGGTGGCATGAATCACGAATCACGAATCACGAAAGAGGAGTTAAATAGCAGGTTTCTTCATTGTTTCATTTTTCAAGGATTTTGCCCGTTTATAGGATTTTGAGTAAATAATAATTTAGTACTTATGTTTTTAATAATGTCATAACTCGGTGCTCTGATTAAAGAAATCACAACTTAATCTCTTCTGCAGTCCTTCCCTTTAAATTAACAAAATTAACTTACAATCTTGTGTCCCAAATTAAAGAAATATAGCAATATGATGTCAATGAGCTTCTGGTGATCTATGGATTTGATTACACCCAATGCAAAAGGAGGCCAAATTAGTTCCTTGTCCTTGGCAACACTACACTAATTAAAATCATGGATTTTTGAATTTAAGAGAGAAGAATTAGAATTTTTGAGATGGCAACTTGCGAATTTACATGAAGAATTTAGAAGCATAAGATTTTACAAAGCATAAAACTCTCTATCTTTAATGCAAGACTCGGCAAGGGATTCAATCGGCTAATGGCTAAGCAATGCTTGTTCCAAATCCTACGAAAGGACATGATGAACAGCATGTATATGCAACCTATCTGGATGCTAAGATCACGGAATAATTCTTACATGTAAAAAATTTTCAAGTTTGAATTATTATATTAAATTCAATTTAAAGCAAAAAAAAAAAAACTTTGGATGATATAAATATTTATTTTTTGATGTTCTAATATTTTTTTTATGGTGTGGTCGATCACGGTCAAGTCAAAACAATTTTTTTTTATCAAATTAATATATAAATATGTATAGACTACAAAGATTTCAAATACTACATCAGATTCTAGTATGAAGCTTAGCCAAATTTTGTCGATCAGAAGTCTTGAAATCAAAGGTGCAACAGTGCTCCTCGGCATGTCGATGAACCCACAAAAGGTTTTCCCACAGCGGCACTTGAACCCCATCAAACCAACTTTCTTGGTGCAGCATTCACATCTATTTTTCAGCACAGTTGAAGTGGATGCAGTAGTAGAGGCTGTTGAAGCTGTTTCATTTGAAACAACAGCTTGGTTCTTATCATCAGATGATGGGGTGATAACAAGTTCAGAGAGTTAGCTGGCAGTCTTGGAAATCACCTCTTCTTTGAGATAATCTTTGTAACACTTCGAACATAGATTTTTGTTCTCTGGAGACCCAAAGAAGCCATAGCCCTTGGCGCACAGCGTACTAGTCAAATTGTCTTGTGAATCCATCAATTCTTTCTTGATGATTAGATGATGCGCACGTACAGCTTGAGGATGAATTCAGAGATATTTTAGTTCTTGCTATGTGGCCTTTGAATGTGTTACTTGTGTGTGTGTGTGTGTGTGTGCAGAGGTAAGATACTTGAATTATTACATAATATGATCCCTTTCGGATTTGGATTATGTGTTAATTACGAGGCAATATCTAGCAAGTATCCTTTTGGGATGAGGTCACCTAGAGTAAGTTAACTTATCATACGAGATCAATGCTACTAATACATCTCTCTTTAGCCCAACAAGTTCTGGTAATCGAGATGAGGTCTGTTAATCTCGTGTTCCATAAGACCAAACTATTACCTCCCATACAATCCATATGAAATCACGTGGCTGGAAAGGCCAAATTTGGTTGGGATAAATAACGACATTCCAATAGCTGAGGTGGCGGCGGCAGTGGCGGTACCAGAAATTTGCTCTAGAAAAACAGGGTTTGCTGACAAGGGAATGCCATGATTTGAATATGCATTTGAATCAAAGTAGGGACTCAACAGGAAGACTAACCAGCATGTCCTCAATGATATCACCTGGAATGTTTTGTTGTCTGCCTGGATGTTGCTCTGATCTGACCTGTTCATAGCTGCCTCTGCTCGTGATTTTCCACCAGGGTTTGTCTGTGTATCCTTTGATCATGTTTAGGCTCAAGGCTTGTTCTAACATGTTAATTTTCAAGACGTGTTATTAAAAAGAGTAACAGTTGCAAGCTAGAGCTTGATCTAGCGGTGGAAGAAACTTGTCTTTTTCTATTGCACCTGGATTCGAGTCTTAGCGTGCACGTCTATCACCCCGCGGTACCTTACATGCCTACTGAGTTTGCAGGGTATTCAGTGGACCGTGAAAATTAGTCGTGATGCGCGCAAACTGACCCGGACATCCCACGTAAATTTAAAAAAAAAAAAAAAAGAGCAGCACTTCATTCTATTTTATTAGGCTATATTTATGCGGTTTTTCGCTTTAAAAAAACATATAAAACTATGCTAAATATGCCTTTTCAAGCGAATTACAGTTTAAAACACAGACATCACCGCTTAGACGAACATGAAATTAGTCTCTTGTTCTATTGTGGTTCGGTTCTCTGTAAGAGACACTTGAAATCCTCCTTGGTCTCTGAGTTCATGCCTACATAATTTTCTTAGTTAAACTCCAAATAAATGGAGAACAAAAGCAGCGCCATCACAGCATCAGAACTCAAGAATTTGAAGCAGAGTAGAGGTAGATGAGCAGATTGCATCAGAAATCCGGCACAGCGGGTGAAACCAAGTATATTGCAGCATTTAACTCTGAGGTGTCGAGCTATATAAATTTATTTTCTAGAAATGATTGGTTGGAGTCATAAATTTTAAAATTATTAAAAATTTAAATGATTATTAATTTTAAAATTCATAAAATTAATTAAAATATACACAAACTAAACTGAAGATCAAAATTAATATATATATAAAAAAAATATTACAGCATTTTCAAGATAGCAGCAGAAGTCTTGCTCTGAAGACTTGCAAAATTGGGGGATAGTTAGTGATTTATACATATCTTTGCACAACTTTCAAAAATAATTTTTGATCAAATTCTCAAAATCCAAAATTGTTAATCAAGGAATTGGGTTCCTAATTATGGGTGTGTGTATATATTATTTGATTATTATTTTAAAATAACAATTATGAGATAGTTGAAATAAAAAAGATATATGTTTGAAATAATTAAAATTGTTTTAAAAATAAATTTGATAAGAGAGATATATCTTCGTATCATTTCAATATTTAAATGATAAAAAAATATTTTAAAAATAAATTTATTATTTTAATTTTAATTTTTTTGTCCTAAAAAGCTGACAAACGCAACCTTAGAATGGGAAGGATTTTGATGATTGAAACTCCATGGCACTGTCCTATACTCCAATTCAAATCACTGGACCCACTGTCCTAACTCATGCTGACATGTTATTTTCCTATTGGCTCACATAAACACCACGGATTAAGCCCACCGTACATCCCAAAACTCCACACCTCTTTCTCCAATCCTAACCGTCTCCCTCCATTAAAAAAAAACCAACGGTGTAGATTCTGTAAAAGTGTTGATCATCAAAAAAATTTGAAATTCAAAATGATCTGATGAAATCATTAAGAAACAAAAAAAAAATCCTTAAAAAAAAAAACGCTCTCTTTTATTATAACGGTTCTTTTTTTTTTTTTCCTTAAACGTCTCTCTCTCTCTCTCTCTCTCTCCCTCCTGGAATTTCAAAACCTTTTATTTCTCGCTCTCTTTTTTTTTAAACAGCATTAGAAATTTTCTCAGGAAAATCAAAACCAAAACAAGCAAACACTCACATTTTCTCAGGAAAATCAAACGACGGAAGAAGATTTTCTGTTTGTACGAATCGTTATAAACAAAGCACTGGTTTGTTGTTCAGGTTTGCGCTCAGATCTCTTTTTCTCTACTTTGGGTTTTTGATTTGTTGATTTTCTGTTTGGTTACTGAGAAAATGAAGGAAATGTGATTCGTCAATCTGATTTTTTTGTTTGTTAGGATTTTGTTTTGAAGTGAGCTGAGAGAGAATTTGAACTAAATTTTATATCACATTTCATTTTTTTTCTTTTGGATTTATTTTTGGAAACTTTGAGATTCTCTTTACTTTTCCTGGATTTTCTCGGGAATCAAAAAGACGGTTAGGTTTGTATTTTACTTACATTTTTTTTTGGTCGAGCTGGAATCAATTTATTTTTAACAGGAAAAAAATAGAATCGGATTTTGAGTGTTATTATGGTAATTAGCTTCATTTTTTATTGCTTTCCATTTAACGCTGTAATCTGATTTACACTGATAATTAAATTACCTGCCATGTTGAAGTGGATAATTTATTTTTTTTGGTAATAAAAGTGGATAAAATTAATGACTGTGTAGATTGAGATCTCTTTTAAGAAATCTTGAGGATTAGGAAAGAATGACATTTTTCACTGTCTATTAAAAGAAGTGGTGGAAGAATGGATTGTGTTTCAAATTTTGAATCCCACATGGTCTTCTTCCCTTTCTCTAACAAAAGTGCTAAACATATTGAGAATACACATGAACCATAGGATCGTGATTTTAAAGTGGGCCCCACTAATCTATAATGGCCCATGTGTGTTCTTTAAATTTTTTCTTAATATTTAGCATTGCTCTTTTCTATATCTTATCTAATATCCTCTGCATTGTTTAGTTCAATTCATTTAATAACAGTCTAGCATTTTAAATCAAGAGCAGTTCAGTATGTATGCTGTATCTTGACATGTTGATTTATGGTGCTAAATGCTGATGATCCATGATTTCCCGCCCGCCCCCCCCCCCCCCCCCCCTCCCCATGTTATTATGCCTAACATTTTTTTCTTTTTTTTTTTTGACAGACAAGTTAATTAATATGTCTATTGTCCAGAGCGACCCGCTTCTGCAAGTGGAAACAACTTGCGGAACCCTTTTATATGAATTACAGGTTTATTTTTTCTTTAAGATAAAAAGAAACTTTATTCACAATCTTCCTTTCTAGGAGGTTGCATCTTTCATTTCTGTTCTGGTGTTTTTTTCTTGTGGTCTTACCTGTAGAATCTGAACCCATTGTTTTTCCTGTTCCAAATGAAAATAAGATAATTTGGAATGAAGTAGGGGAAACAGATACTGATAGGGATAAAATGCTGCTTGAGCTCGAACAAGAGTGTCTTGAAGTATACAGAAGGAAGGTGGATCAGGCGAACCGGAGCAGAGCTCAACTACGACAGGCTATAGCTGACTCTGAAGCAGAACTGGCTGCCATCTGTTCTGCAATGGGGGAGCGACCAGTTCATATCCGGCAGGTTAGGTTTAAGAATGCCCTCTCTTTTCTGTTTCTTTATGACTAACTTGATTTAATTTAGCTCAAACTTCTATAACTTGTCTAATGGATTATGAAAATGGAAAACAGAGTCGGGATTGTATGTAATAGTTATTAGAAAATTCAATTTGCATCATTGTGCAGCTGCTAGTGACCATAATCTATCTAATGGTGACAGTTCTGTAACAAAAAATTTTGTTGTAGAATATGAGCAAAGTTGGAGGTGAGTTAGATAGTTAGTAATGTAATAAGTTCGAATAACATTTTATTATAACCTGCCCTTTCATTAATAAGTCAGAAAAGGTTGAAATTCTCAGAATAACTTGTTGACCAGTTTTTAAACTGTGCACCACAAAGGCATGGTCTGGTGCATAAACTAAGTATGATTTTAATCTTACTTTTTCCCTTGCTTCTATGATCAGGCTGATCAAAATATTGGAAGCTTGAAGGAAGAGCTTCGAAAAATTATTCCACAACTTGAGGAGATGAGGAAAAGGAAATTGGACCGAAGAAAACAGTTCCATGAGGTTCTAGAGGGCATAAGGAAGATCTCAAGTGAGATCTATGGATCAGCTGATCATAATGTGTTTGTTGATGAAGCTGACCTCTCCTTGAAAAAGTTGGAAGAGTTGCACAGACAGCTGCATGAACTTGAGAAAGAAAAGGTTTGATTTTTTTTCTTCACTCTCCATCATCCAACTTCTTTCATTTACTTCTTGTCTCTAGTCCTTACTTACTGATTCATCTTTTGTCTTTGCAGAGTGATCGCATGAAGCAGGTCCAGCAGCATCTAGATACTTTGAATGCACTTTGCCTAGTGCTTGGTATGGACTTCAAGCACACAGTTAGTGAGGTTCATCCAAGTTTTGGTGATTCTGGAGGATTGAGGGACATAAGTAATCTGACAATTCAGCATTTGGCTACTACAATTCATAAATTGCGCAAGGTTAAAATACAGAGAATGCAAAAGGTGACAACTGGCTTAAATTTTAGTCGATATTTGATCCTGAACATGTTATTTCAAATTGACCATGTAGTGCCTTTGTGTCATTGTAGCTCCAAGATCTTGCAACTACAATGTTGGAGCTATGGAATTTGATGGATACCCCTATCGAGGAACAACAAGAATTTCAAAATGTTACATGCAATATAGCTGCTTCAGAGCATGAAATAACAGAACCAAACACTCCTTCTGTGGAGTTTATAAAATATGTGAGTTACAGATGTTTCACATTTTGATGCTTGTTTTAGTTTTCTGTCTAGTCTTTTGGTTTGTTGTTTTGCAAAGATTCTCAGAGAATATTATAATATACAGGTTGAGGCAGAAGTTTCTCGTTTGGAAGAGTTGAAGTCAAGCAAGATGAAGGAGCTTGTTCTGAAAAAGAGGTCGGAACTGGAGGAGATCTGCAGAAAAATGCATATGATTCCAGAAACAGATGCTGCAGTAGAATATGCTGTTGAAGCCATAGAATCTGGTAATTTTTTTATGATGAGTATATTTAATGCTACTTGTACCTCTGTCATTTCACTGAATGCTTTTTTGATCCATGCTGTGGCAGGAAACATGAACCCTGAGAGTATACTTGAGCAGATAGAGGTTCAAATTGCTAATGTTAAGGAGGAATCTTTTAGCAGGAAAGAAATACTTGAAAAGGTTGAGAAATGGTTGACTGCATGTGAAGAGGAGAGTTGGCTTGAGGAGTATAACAGGGTTAAGTGTCTATGTTATCCCTTTGTAACTATTCTTCATCATTTGTTGATTTTCTTTCTTGCTTGTTACTTACATTTTGTGACTGTACAGGATGACAATCGATACAATGCTGGGAGAGGTGCTCATCTGACTCTCAAGCGTGCTGAGAAAGCTCGCAATTTGGTTAATAAAATGCCAGGTACAGGCTTTTTTCTGTGGTCAGCAAAATGAGCATATATGCAGAATCAATTTGTGCAACATAGATCGCTTGCCTTTTATTTATTGGGCATGATATAGATAGCTGCATATTATATTTCATCATAATTTGTTTACCCTGGACAACTTTATTTTGCTTCATGTGAACCTTTTCTAGTCCAGTGTTTTATTCTGATGATTGATTTTGTTTGATCACTCAGAGACCATTTCTCCATCCTGCAGTATGTGTTTGTTGTTGTTGTACATTTCAATAGCCAGCCTCTCATCTTATAATAAGTTTCTTTTTCCATTTGGGGGCAGGTATGGTGGAGGCTTTGGCTTCCAAAACCATGGCATGGGAAAGTGAGAGAGGCACTGAATTCTTATATGATGGTGTAAGTCCAGTATTTGTTTCTTAAGGTAACTCAATTTTGTGTCTTTATTAAGGGTTAACTGTTTGCTGCTAACTACACATGTCCAGATCCGCCTTCTTTCTATGCTTGAAGAGTACACCATATTACGCCAGGAGAAAGAGGAAGAAAGACGGAGGCAGCGGGTATAGATTTGTCAATTCTCAGTCTGTCTAGTAAAAAAGACGCCATTACATTATTCAGTCATTCATGAATCTTTGACTCTACAGGATCATGGGTTTTTTCTAGACGTCTTTCATACAGGAGATATGCTTATTGTGATATTTTTGTGGTGGTTAATCTATTATAGGATCAGAAGAAACTGCAGGGACAGCTGATAGCTGAGCAAGAGGCCCTTTATGGGTCGAAGCCAAGCCCTTCAAAGCCCCAGAGTGTGAAAAAAGCTTCTAGAGTATCAACGGGAGGTGCAACCAACAGAAGACTTTCCCTTGGAGGAGCAGGGCTTCAGACTCCTAGACCTGATTTACCTCACTATAGCAAAGCTACACCACATTCACGTCCTGGAAATAAAGTTGAAAGACTGCATCAAAATGATCATTCAAAACCCCACCAGGATGATGGCGTTGCTGGTTTATCTGCTGGTGAGTTATTTTAAAATGAAGGTTATAGATTACCAAGGAGTTTGTAGCCATAACCTCTATTCTAAATATATTCCTTTCATTTCCCCATTTTCTGTTTTCTGTTGAGGATGACATAATTTAAACCGAGCAATAACAGCTCGCCACTTTTCCTCGGTCTGGGAAGAATATCAACTGGTTCTTCACTATTTTCATGTTGTTGACAATGAAGTATGTCCTGTCTTAGAGTATTTCTGTTGACTCTAAGATGTTTGCACAACAGAGCACCAGCAGCCTTTATACTCCACCTGTTATATTCCCTTCAAACACAACCTCAAATCTTATCAGAGTTTTTATTTATCTATTCATGTTCTTTTTGTGGTACAAGTGGCTGGACCACCAATGGTCCCGGAAAAAGACAGGTGGTAAGGATTTAATGTTCGGTACGATTGCTTAAGCAACTAATGTTTATGCTTACTCAGCAAATTTGAATCTCTCTTTCAATCTCTTTTTTTTCATTTTCTTTTTACTATTTTGCAGGGAGGAGAGGGTTGGATATTGCTGGTCTTCCCATGAAGAAACACTCATTTGGCGCTGTAAATGGTCGCGAACCTCAATCACCAATGCTGCGGCAACCTTTCTCACCTATTTCTTCCACTGTTTCATCAAAATCCAACATGTTAGAAGAAGCAATGACACACGATGACACATCTAAGAAGACACTTCCAATAAATGATCTGTCCTTTAAAACTCCCTCAAAGACAAATACCGTTGCAGATGAAGAGAATTGGACTCCAAAGGCAATGCTAATTCCTGTGCCTACAACGCCTTCGACAGTATCAGTACCCATGCAGACAGCCATGACCCCAGCTCCCCCACCAGTTCCATTCGCAGTTAATCCAGTTGAAATTCCTGAAGACATAGAGTACTCATTCGAGGAAAGAAGAGCAGGATTCATTCTTCCCAGCTCACATATAAAATCAATCATACAACTACAAGTCTGATATTCTCAAACCATGGGTGAGCTTGAATTTATGTTGCGTGGTCATTGCCTGTTGATCTAATTGATTTTACTTTCATCTTTTTCCAGGACAAGTTCTTGGTTAAAGTCAATTGTAATTGGCTTTTTGATAGTGTATATAGTCTACGAGCATTGAAACGTGGACTAAGTTGTTAAAATTGTTACATCATCGTCAGTGTTAGCTTCTCTTGATTTTATTGACATCTCTTTTATGTTGAGAAAGGGTCAAGACAGTGATTTTCTTTCCCTGGATTGTTACTTGATATACTGGTATTTGTTAGGTAACACAGTAAACAGTTCTTTTCTAGGCTATTTTTAGTAGGGCAGCAAATACAAGGATATTATTTTATTTCTCAAATTTTTTACTATGCTAATTTGCAAAAACAAAGAAAACTCTTTCC